TTCTCCGCCCTGGCAGCACGGCTCTGAGAGAGGAGCAGTGGATTGGGGGGGCTGGGGGGGGGAGAATCTGCAGCCCCGGCATTGCCACGTACCCCTCGGTGACCAGCAAGTCGCTCTGCTTGGTGCCCGCTCCTCTGCCAGCCCTTCCAGCAGGCTCTGGGTGCAGAGGGACCCGACGGCTTGCTGTCCCGCAGTCCTCCCCGGGCTGCGGTTGGTCTGGAAGGAGACGTGTCCTTGGGTCGTCCGGCGCAGCACTGGGAGCGTTCTTCAGAGGCTTCTGCAAAGGGGAGCGAGCACCACAGCCCTGGTCTGTAAAACCAAGCCATCTTCTGCTCTCTCCAGTCAATAAGTACCAACTGATGAACTTCTCAGAGATGTCCTCCCTGACACCAAAGCACCGAGCTGTTGCCATCAGGCAGCAGAGGAAGTGTAGACGGGTTTCAGTTTCTGCAGCTGAATGCATCAGCCCTAGCTCAGTCCCCTCAACCGTCCCACCGGAGGCACAGCCCGCTGCTCTGCGTGCACTGATAACCTCAAAACCAAACCTACAGCTGTCGGCAGTTAATGCTTGTTTCATGTCGAGCCCTGCGCTGGAACAGTCACGGAGGTACGGACCCCTCCTGCGAGGATTACTCACAGCAGCAGGTCGAGCATGCCCGGGCCTGGCAGGAGGACTGCATCTGCAGGCAGCGGTGGGAGGTCTGGAGAGGAGAAGGTTTTGTTCTGATCTTCCTCTGACTCCACAGAAGCTGGTTCTCCAGCAGCATGGGACTCTTGGCTTGTCAACTGCTGAGTGGAAAGGAGCGTGAACAGACCATGGGCATGGTCCCCAGCCATGCCCACCCCTCAGCGGGTATAAATGTCTCTAACTCCTACCATCTGGTTCTGGCCGTGCCACTACTCCATGCCTTGGATGCCTGTAGAGGGGGCATCCTCTTGCCAAGGGAAAATGAGGTCTGGAGTGCGATCTCTGCTACAGCGTCGCTGAGCCTTGCTGTAGCCCCTGGCGAGGAACAAGCAGGTTGGACTTGGCGTCTCCCCAGGAGGAGAGGACATTGCAGTTTGCGAGGAGAGCTTTCCCCAGATGCACAGACATGCAGAAAAGCATTGGGATTTTTTATTTTCCTTCTCTATGCATCTTTCATCCTGGAAAAGAGGATTTCTAGTGAAGCCGTTAAGCCACACGTAAAGAAGATCATCTGCCAGGCTGGCTGTGTAACACCAAAATCCCACAGGGCAGGCAGAGGCCTGCTTTGAAAGACAAAGCCAGGAGCCTGCGCGAGTCCTGGAGCTGGCTGCTCTGCCCCAGCAGTGCTGGTGAGCAGGGACGGGTTCCCAGGACAGCAGAGCCCTGGCCTCGAGGCAAGGTGCTGCGGTGACACCAGGAACCCTGTTCATGGCTGGACTCTTGGGGGAAGGGTGGTGTTCCTCATGTCCTAGTCGGTCCTCATCTCACCATCTCCTCCTCCTCCCATCCTAGTTTGTCGCCCAGATGCTGGGGTTCCTGATCAGCGTGGTGAGCTCCATCTTCTGTGGCCACCTGGGGAAAGCTGAGCTGGACGCTGTGACGCTGGCCGTGTCTGTACGTATTACTCTGATTCCTCTCTGATTTAAAACATACAAATTAAATGTCACCAAAAAAAGGAGAAAAAACAACAACAAAGCCCTGTAGGAGTGTATCTGTGAGGACCCTGTGGTAAGCACAGCCCGATGCAATGCCAACATCGCATCCACCAAATCGTTCGTTCTTTTGCCCTGAGCACAGGCAGGAGATGGGCACCGAGCCGCCGGTGACCGTGCC